ACGGACAAAGGGAAGCTAATAAGCATTTTTTTTCAATTTTTTTTTACAAAGTGCTCAAAATACTTTATGTGTAGTTAAATTTAAACATTGACATGTCTCTTTGTAACTTGTTTAGAATCCTGCTATTTGTTTTTTGAAAATGATAAAAAAATATTTGGTAGATTTAAAAATTTACAAATAGGCCCATATCTGACCAACGCAGCACTGGATATGGCGCGTCCTCTAATCGAAGGACCCGTGGTTCAAACCTTGCTCAGGTCACTATAATAAGTGTACTTCATATTATAATGCTTAATATACAATTTTGATATAAAATTAATTATCCATGTATCTGCAAATTGTGCGCAAACAAAAATAAACAATAAATATCAATAACCTTCCATATTTAGTGTGAAAAACTGCAGACTGGTTATTGTCTAATTAACCCCAATGACCTGTAAAACTGAAGTACTTTCCAGTTGACTCTGAAATCAATTGTAAGGTCCTGATACTCTCAAGTATAAAAAATATGAACGTATAAAAAATATTTCATGGAGTGTAAAAAATATTTATGGGAGCCATTAAGTGCATATTACTGAAACGCTCTTATTTTCATTAGATAATGATTTAAAATCTTGAAATTGATTTTCTGATGTTTATAAAAGTTTAGTTTTTGTACAAAGGAACTTATAGAAAAATCAAATTATGAATGTGCTCTTCATAAAGTATTGAATTTTTAAATAATATTTTTTCCGCCACTTCAAATTTACTGTGAACTCCGGCAAATGCAATTAGTAATTATTAGAGTACCTTTAAAATAAATTCCAAAGAAAAAGTTTTTTTTTTTATAAACTAAAAGTTTTAGACTAAAACTTAAAGTAAACTTTAAGACTAAACTAAACTAAGAGTAAAATTCAGGAAATTCATTTATTGTTAACTATTACTTAAATCTAGATATACGAGTAGATGTAGGAAATTTATAAATGTTTGCTTTCGTTTCACATATCTTATTTATTCCGCTATTTCTATGCAATTCTTTGATCTAAATGCGACTTAAACAAACCAAGAAGATAGTAAAACAAGTTTAAACGTTTCAGTCGGTATGAACCGATTGAATTATACACTACACCTTTCATTGTCGTATACCATTCAACGACTGCCAAGTTTTACGAATCTGACTTTAGTATTTTTCCAATCTCAAGGGTTTTCGAGATACAGGAATTTTAACGAATTTTCACGAAATTTCTAGTTATCTAAGCTTTTTTGATTATAACTACCGTTCCGAAAAAGATAGGAGCTTCAAACGAACAATTTCTGAAAGGTCTAATAAAGGGCTTGAAATAAACATCATGCTTGATTATGTATTTTGTGTACTTTCGGAATAACAATCGTTCGAACTTTAGGAAAAATCTAATTTTTCCTCTTTTTTATTTTTTCAGTTTTTTCTAACCAGGTAATTTCGTTAGAAAATTTTTTGAAACTTTGAATTTTTTGTTACAGAATTTTGGCCACTTTCCCCAGCTTTAATTTAAGCCACAAAGTGTTGAAAAATTTTTTATGGTACAGAAGATATAGCACGAAAACCATTTCTATATCAAGAATTTAAGGGCCCTAATAAAATGTAAAAAACCAAAAAATTGTCATTATTTTTTATTTTTATTGATTTTAAAAGCTATATTTATCATCTACTATCAATTTCTTAATAGACTATCATCCTAAAAATCCGTTAACACTTTTAAGTACCGTTATTTTGATAAAAAATCTGAATTTTAGTATTTTTATTGATATCGGTATAGTATCAGCAACTTCTTTTTGCATCGAAGCTGCACTGATGCATATTTTTGATTACTTTCCGATTATAGTCTTAACATCAGTTAAATTTTCATTTTAAATTTTCAAATAATTCTATATAAATGGTTTTCCGTTCTTATTAAATTATAGACTTAAATTCTAGATCGCATTCGGGAAGTCGCTCGGCGCACTCCTGCATTTTAAATTCGGCTGAACCGATTTCCAGCTTTGGCACAGGGAAGGCGGAGGTTCCTTGGATCGCATTTCTTTTTGCGGGTTACAGACCGGCAAATATAAGCGTCAGGGATTTGATCAGCCAGAACCAGTTGGCCGAATCACATGAGGGTGGGGATATGGAGTTCCAGCGGTATCACAGAGGGCCTAATTGGCCTAAGTTCATCCTCGGATAGCCGCGTCAACCTAAACCTAAGCCTTTCCTGCCTATAAATAAATTCTGATAATAATTGTTCTTTATTTTCGGCCTTACAATTAATTTGATTCGAGCAATAGTTTAGAACTCATCAAAGTCAGAATTTTTTTTTTTTTGAAAACCCGAAACTTCTCGAAATTTTTTGTTTTAATTTTTTTTTTGTTTTTTGCTTTTTTTGTGGATGCGATACGATAAGACCTAAAAGTTAACCTGTGTAACATTTTTCTCTATCTCTCGTTCTTTTAAAAACGTGTTAAATATGTTTAAAAAAACATGCAAAAGTTCATATAAATTGTTTTGTTCTGCATCCTTTTTCCAAATTTATTTTAATCAAAATTTTGTGTTATGATCACGAATGATTTAGTCATTAAATTAAATTGTACTTAAACTTCATTGTTTTCACACATATGCCATAGATGTTACTGTCACCCTTTAATGAAAATAAATGAGACGCTCAGCGCCTTAGTGGCCTATCCAATATTTTTTCAAAAATGAGTAATTATATCCAATAGAGCTGTAATGGCCGATAGGATTGTTCTATATTCTCAAAATACTTAGTTTACTTCTCCTTTCACTCTATTTTGACATAAGTTTGTTTTTGCCTTTTAAGTTGTTTCTTAAAAATTAAATATTTAACATTTCAATCGCAATTTACTCGAAATGTCATATTTGCAAGTAGGCCCAATGCGCTGGACGCTTCAAGTAACATTTGACTAACATTATATACGCGGTCTAATCTTTATTATAAAGATTAGACCGCGTAAATGTAGTTAAACATAATAATTATTATTTTATTAAAAAATTCCACCAAATAGCACCTTGTACTAATTCCCACATCAAAACAACTATAATTAGAATTGGCAGCTTGGAACATTACATAATTTCTGCCGTAACACATATTGTGATCACTTATATCGATCTTTGGACAAAAAAAGAAACCTGTGCTAACAAGAAATATGATAAGTCATTTTGAAACAGGTTGCTGAATACTAATGATTATATACAATGAGCGCAATGTTTCCAAGTCTATCAATAGTAACTTTTTATTTTATTATGAAAATTACATTTGGGTTTTTGATCTAAATTTTTATTCAATATGACGTTAATGAAATTATAATTTATTTGCTTTAAAATTTTTTATTCTTGACAATGCTTTATTAACCAAAGTATTCTTTACTTTTAGCCTTGAAATTTAAAATATATTGCAGTACTTTGAGGTACTGTAAAGTGCTGTAATATATGTATTTTAATATTGTACTTCCTATACTTAGTTATTTGGGTGGTTTAAAGCTCTTTCATGTAAAGCTTAAGACTTAGTTGAAGGTCTTTGATATAACAATATCTGAAGTGCTTTGTTAATTCTTCTTCTTGCGCTGCATATCCACTACTGGATGTTAGCGATCATATGATGCTGAGTATTAATTTTTTGAATCTGTCTCTATCAGTTGCCTGATGTATCAACTCTCCCGCATTTGTTATACCAGTCCAATTTCTTATATTATGGAGCCATGATAATTGTTTTCTGCCTACTCCTCTTCTATCTTCTATTTTGCCTTGAGCAATGGGTTGAAGAATTTCGTATTTGTCGTTTCTCATCACATGCCCGAAGTAAGAGATCTTTCTTCTTTTCACATTTGTTAAAAGCTCTCGATTTGTATGCATTCTTCTTAGAACCTCTTCATTTGGAATGTGATCTACCCAAGATATCTTCAGCATTTTCCGAAAAATCCACATTTCAAACGCCTCGAGTTTGTTCATATGACTAACTTTTAAAGTTCATGATTCCGATCCATATAAAAGGACAGACCAAACATAGCATTTCATAAATCGTAGGCGGCGGCTTAAATTTATATCTCGATTGCAAAGAATTCTTTGATACTTAAAGAAAGCATCTCTAGCAATCTCAATTCGACATCTAATTTCTTTTTCGCAATGCCAATCTTCATGTAGGCAACTATCGAGGTACTTGAAACTAGATACTCTCTCAATTTGAAGATTCAATTGTTATTCTTGCTGTTGGATATGGTGTTCTACTCCTGCTTATAATCATGAACTTGGTCTTTTGAACATTAAGTTTTAGACTACATTCTTTGCTATGTTGGTTCACCTTATTTACAATAAACTGCAAGTCTGCCCAATTATCTAACATGAGTGTGGTATCATCGGCATATCTTATGTTGTTGATTGGTGAACCGTTAACTTTGATACCTACTTCTACATCATGTAATGCGCCATCAAATATCGTTTCTGCATATAAGTTAAAGAGCAGTGGTGATAAAATGCATCCTTGCCTATCTCCTCTTTTAATAACGATATTATTTGACAAACCATCTTTTGTTTTCACATTGGCGATTTGGTTCCAGTATATATTTCTAATACATTGTACTGTTTTTTCATCGATATCCATTTTTTCAAATTTCGATAAGTTTATCATACTTATCAAACGCTTTTTCATATTCTAGAAAACAAAAAAACGCATCTTTCTGCACATCTCGACAATTTTGAATTAGAACTTTTAAAGCGAAAAGAGATTCTCGTGTACCAGTTCCTTGTTTGAAGCCGAATTGTGTTCTTCCCATATACGCCTCACATTTTGGATATAGATGTGTGTGTATTATTTTAAGGAAGATTTTAAGAGCATGACTCATTAAACTTATCAACCGATGTTCCTTACAACTTTTGGCATTGGCCTTTTTTGGAAGCGTGATAAATGTTGATTTTAGCCAATCACTTGGCAAAATGCCAGTGTTGTAAATGTGATTAAATAGTCACTCAAGTAAGACCAAGTTATCTTCATCAATCAGTTAATTTCGGCAGGTATATCGTCTGGTCCAACAGCTTTTTTGTTTTCAGATGAACGTATAGCACTTTTGATTTCATCCATAGTAATTGGAGGCCCCGACAGCTCTGTGGATATTTGAAGATGAGTTGATCGTTCACAGTGTTCAAAGAGTTTTTTCACATATTCTTCCCAGAGCTTTGTTCTTTCGTTACTATCAATAATAATTTGGCCGCGATGATCTTTTAGAGTAGCGACATTTATTTTCTATAAACTCCAGACACTTCTTTAATTTTCTTATGAAGATTAAAATCGTCATGAAGATTCTAAAGCCTCTCTATTTCATTACATTCGCGCTGTAGTCAATTTTGTTTAGCTCTTCTTATTTTAGAACCAATTTTTTGCTGTATACGTTTGTATTCTGCAGCATCCTTGCTTTTGCGAAGCTGTCTCTGGTCCATTAATTGTAAGATTTCTGGTGTCATCCATCTTTGCTTTGCAACATATTTTTTAGTCCCTAAAATGTTTTTGGCTGAATCATAAAGTATCGTTTTTGTATATTGCCATATATTTTCTTCGCCTCGAACACGCCTTAATTGACTAGTAATCCTTGTAGATAATTCGGTTTTGATCTAATCATTTTCCAATTTTTCCAAATCAAGTTTAAATTGACGGTTCACAACTCTGGTCTGGCTAGCCTGATGTTAATTTTAGCCATGAGAAGGTTGTGATCCGATGGTACGTCTGCACCAGAATACGTTTTCACATTTTTCATAAATGAACTGAAATGTCTGTTAATGATGATGAAGTAAATTTGATTGCGTACAATATTTTCATCATTGTCTTGTGGAGATTTCCATGTATACAATCTTCGTGGTGGTAGTGAAAACAAAGTATTCATTATTTGAAGACGCTTTTCTTGGCAAAATTCTACGAGCCGTTCCCCTCTCTCATTTCTGTTTCCTAATCCAAATGATCCGGTTACGTTTCTCGTTTCTTCAATTCCAACCTCTGCATTAAAGTCGCCCAAAATAAAGTTCATGTCATGTGATTTCGTATGCTTTAGAAGATATGATATTTGGCTGTAAAATTTTTATATTTCCTAGTCAGGTTTCTTTGCTGTTTGTGCGCAGGCCTGTATGATGTTTATTGCAATAGGTTTGGAGTTTAGTTTGAACATCATAACTCTGTCCGAAGGTGGAAGGTTTTCGGTGACGTGTGGTATTAAATGTTCAGCGACGATAATGCCAACTCCGTTTCTATGATTTGTGGATTCGTTTCCGGAGTAAAACATCTTTCCACCTTTTATTCTGCATTCTCCAGAATTTGGCCACCACGTTTCGCAAACCCCAAGTATATCGATTTTCAGAAGCTGCATTTTTTTAACTATGTTTTCAAATTTTCCAGCTTCAAATAAACTGTTGACATTCCATGCCCAATATTGAGTGTATTTTTTGTTTTACCTCCGGGGATTCTTAGGACCCTCGTTTTGCCGGAGACTGAGTGCCGTTCATGATTGCTTTTATTCATATGATATTTCTAGGGAGATTATTACTTCAGTGGCTTCCCGTATCCTTCTGAAGGGTTTGTATAGTTTTCCTTCCATAATTCAGGCGCCATTTCAGGGTACAGACGCTGTTTGTAGCCGCCAACTATTTGAACAGACGCTACTAACTTCTGCATTTGCAGAAGCCGCCGCGCTCGTTTGTTTGCTGACCCAATCTACACCATCCGGGTTGGCTACCGGATCTTTCGGATGGGTTACTCAGTTTTACAGGAGGGACCTCGTGATGGTGAGCTTTGGCGTTGAGGAGCAGAGGCTAGGCTGATATGACTGGTCACATATCAGCAGTTTTTGCTTGCTTCCCCCATTTCCTCCCCCCCCCGTTAGTTTTACGCTTTAATAAATTCGACCAGATTATTGTAGCCACATGGTTAGTATTTTTTTTCAAATTTAATCTGTTTTAATAATGTAATTTACAAATTAGTGTTATTATGTGAAAATATCAATTCGCTTTAACCCTTTCCAAGTTAAAATTCATTTCGTATTTGTTGACTTTGTTCAACGATTTTACATATCTACATATCATATTCTTTTGCATATTGAATTCTTCATTAAGTTCCGCTATTTTGATTGCAATGAAAAAAAGTTTTATGCAATTAAATATGTAATCAACTCTTTCCTTATTCAACTGAACTTAAAGCCTTATTTGTATGCCTTGTTTCGACTTTACTTTTTCGATAATTAGATGAAATTTTCACTTTGCATTTATAGTTTGTCTGCTTTCTACAGATAATAAAAAGAAATATACTACATTGATTATCTGATCATCTTTATAAGTGTATGAAAAATAGTTTTATGCAATAGTTCTTGATTTCAAAAATATTTTATTTGTGGGATTTTCAATAAATGGTATTTCATATTTACTCTTTAACTATTTTGCAGTATAGTTCGAATTTTTAAATCCAATTACCATTTTCCATTATATTTTCATCACAATTTTCTCAACAAAAAAGAGGTGAAATTATAATAAAAAAAAAAACAAATAATTTGTAAAAAGTTATAACGGATAAGCAGCTAATGGCAAATTCTGCTTTAGTTACTGTTATGTTTTGAAAGCTTCCCTTCAAACGAAGGGAAAAATATGAAATCCTTTCTTTGTATTTTGATCACGATTTAAGTTTTATATTTCTAGTTGATTACATCTTTTAATATCTTTTGAATTGCTAAGAAAAAAATTTAAACCACTTTGGTAAACATTTTATATGTACCTGAATGGCACTAAAACAAATTAAAATTATTAAAATTGAAAATAAAATTCAAAATAAAACTGTAAAATAATGTGATTATGCAAAAAAGTAACAAAATTTTGGTCTCAATGATTTAGCTTTTAATTTAAATAAGGATTGCTTTTATAAAAATATATTTCTTGTGGTTAAATGCGATAGCGGTTTCAGTGTGTGTAAACCGACCGAATTATACTATGCACCTCGACCATCCGAGTTTAAAAATTTGTTTTGGGAATATCTATAGAATTAGCTTTTATTATTGTATATCTATTACTCGAACCTGCCAAACCACCCTATAAACACTTCACGGATATGTCTGACCTATAATGGGACACACAATTGCCAACTTTCATTAATCTAGCTTTGATATTTTTCCAAATATTTAAATTTTTGTTTTGGAGTTGTGTTGGACTCCAAGAATAAATGTGACCTATAACTGAACACACAACTGTAATATTTCATGAATCTAACTCTATTATTCTTTTTAATATTTAAAATTAGCTTTCGGAGTTGTATGATAGGTTGGAGTTGTAAATACATCGATGGTATTATCGATACTATCGATAGTTTTCAACTATCGAAACTATCGACGGTTTTGAATTCGATATAATACTATCGTCAAATAAACATTAATTCTTGGCAATTAATAAATTTTAAAAAATTGGCAAGAACGGAATATCGTTTTGAATTTTATGAATTCCATAACATTATTTTGCTACGCACATTAATTTATTACTTCAGTGAAATTGAAAAATTCTATTATATTTCTATGTTCTTTTATTTCATTCTAAATATTTCGTGAAGACGTGAAGTTAAGTGAAGCTGTCATTGAATTTCACTATATTCTTAATATTTCTTCTCTGAAATGAATAAGATGAATAAGAGAAAAACCTTGCTACTATCTATACCAAAGTTGAAGTTAAATACACAACATGTCGTTTGAATACCGAATTTGACTCAGCTTTTACAAAGGCGTGTTCTTGGTATAAATGTTTCAATGTATACAGTAATTTTAATAATATTCTAAAATATCTCAAATTACTAAGCATATGACAAATTCAAAAATTTCAAAACAATAAAAGATTTTTTATCGATAAAATAAAGAATGAAAGGTTAATAAAAGAAAAATATTTATTACATAATAAAAATAAGTCTAATTTTTTCAAATAATATTATTCATATTCTTGTTTTGTTCATTCCATGTTTAGTTATAATTACACTATCATGTTCATACCACTATTGTATTATTCTTCACAATTTAAATAGAGGTCTTTACAGCAGCAAGGTGCGTTATTATACTGCAAGTGGCGTTACGAAACTATCGATAAACTTATCGTTTCCAAGAGAATACAAAATAAAAAAAATCTCTTTCTGTATTTCAAAAGAAAGCTTTCTATCTTCTTTCTAAATGCAAGAAAATAATTTCTGCAAATTTATTACATGCTTATTCTTACTTTTACATGCCTTATCTTCTACATACTTTTGAATTAATAAAATTTAATGTGTCACATATTCCACTTAGCACCTTCTCTCTGCAGACGAAAAACGGCAAGCTCTACCCGAATTTAAGATTTAAAGAAATCGCAACTTTTGAATTGCTTTTCTTTAAAATTAAACAAACTAATAACAAGTAGAAGCGTTTCAGTTGGTATAAGCCTTCCGTGCACTTCGACAATCTGAGTTTAAAAAGTTGTTTTTGAATTATCTAGAAAAAGTTTTCATTGTTGGAAGTACTATACAAACTGCCAAGTATTGGACATACAACTGCCAAGTTTCATGAGTCTAACTTTATTATTTTACTGAATATTTAAAATTTGGTTTTTGAGTTGTATGACAGCTACCCAAACCTGTCAACTCATTCCATCAAAACTTCAGGGATATATTATGTGACCCGAAATTGGACACACGACTGCCAAGTTTATGAATCTAACTATATTATTTTCCCAAATAATTAAAATATGCTTTTGGAGTTGTATGGCAGTTAGCCGAATCTGTCAAGTCATTCCAACCAAACTTCAAAGATATATGTGACATACGATTGCGCACAAGACTATCAAGTTTCACGAATGTAGTTGTGTTACTTTTCCGAATACATAGAATTAACATTTTTAGTTGTACCCGAACCAGTGCAGCCATTCCAACAAAATTTTCAAAACATATGTAAAATGTAACTGGACGCTCCTTTGCAAAATTTGATACTAATGTCACTTTTAGTTTTTAAAATATTCAAAAAAACCGGATGGACATGTCCAAATCAACGCAAAATTTTTCGCTGATGTAATTAAAGCAAAATATTGTTATTCTTCGCACTCCAAAATCAAACGAGAAATTAAAAGCAATCGTTATTCTTAAATATATACATTTGTAATAGATACGAGTATAATCACATTTGTAATTTTTACATATTTTTACAACGTTCTCTTGAACTTTACAAACTATTTTTGCAGGTATTTGGCAATTACTGAAACCTGTCAAGCAATTTCACCTAAGCTTCAGGGTTATATTTGATCTTAAATTAGATTTGCTGACACGATTGTCGAGTTTCATGAATCTAGCTTTAATATTTTTTAAAATATTTTAAATTTCCTTTTGGAGTTCTCTGGCAGCTACCCGAATCCGTTATTCGAGTTGGTCCTATTACAATAGCAGCCGTCGTTGGCACAAAAATTGCAAAAATTTGGTGTCGATTGCATTATTCGTCAATTGCATTATTATGTGTAAATCAACGCAGAATAGTATGCTGAGCAAAAATATTTATATATATATATCTATACCTATACAGGAAAGGACACATTTAAGTGGTTACAAACTCCATACCAAAGTAAATTAAGAAGGTGCAGGGTATAAAAAACTGTACAAAAATTGGCACACGTACTTTTTAGCACTTTTCCAAAAAAATTTTGAAAAAAAGTGCTTATTAGTTTCACTCTGTCCGTCCGTCCGTCCGTCCGTGTGTCTGTTTACAAAACTTCTACACCCTTGAAGATAGAAAGCTGAAATTTTATATGTACATAGATCTTTACTAGAAACTTATTTCCGTAGAACAAAATTTTTACCTATCTCTTCCCCTCTAGAAGTTATACCCCCCCAAAACACTAAAAATGGTCTTTTTTAACTATTTGTTGCAATGAAACCATAAGCATCTTTGAAATTTTGCAAACGCAGAAAGGCAGCGGCTTGCTTCCCCTAGCGTGGTACACTATAGCTAAACTTAAGAAAAACAAAATGGCCGTTCAAATTTACCGTTATCTG